ACGAGTGCCTCTCAATCCGGAGACGTCCTCCTCTTTAGCACACGCTCTCTAACAGTCTCAAACGTCATCCAAGCACATAAATCGCCCATCTCCTTCCTGTCCATCAACTCCACCGGAACGCTCCTCGCTACATCCTCAGACAAGGGGACGGTGATCAGGGTATGGAGCGTACCCGGTGCGGAAAAGCTGTATCAGTTCAGGAGGGGTACAAGGGAAGCAAAAATTTACTCCATCAATTTCAATCTGGTCAGTACGTTGCTCGCGGTGAGCTCTGCGCACGATACGGTGCATATATTCAAGTTGGGTCCCAGGAGTGCGAGTGGTGCAGGAGCGGGAGGAGCGGGGAATAATGGGCCCTCGAGTCCGTCTGGGTCTGTGGATAGTAGGGAGATCGGAGCACAAGGATTGGACGGCGGGTACGATGCGTTTGTCGAGAAGAAGAAAAACGGGAGCAGCGTCTCGTACGTCCAAATAATATACTTTCCTAAACTTCTTCTAACCTAATTCCACGCGCAGGTCATCCCTCCGCAGGCGTTCCCTCCACTTAACCAAAAACCTGACTTCCTCCGTCGGAGTCTACCTTCCTAACACGCTCACCGAAATCTGGGAACCCTCTCGAGACTTTGCCTTCCTCCGTTTACCTACCTCTGGAGTCCGGAGCGTCGTAGCGTTGAATGGAAGTTTACCTCAGGTCATGGTCATCTCGTCCGATGGGTACTTTTACACGTATAGTATCGATTTGGAGAATGGTGGAGAGTGCACGTTGGTGAAGCAGTATAGGTACGTTGCTTGAGGTACCACGCTTGCGCGAGATGGTTTGCTGATATTTTGGCTTTCAGCCTCCTGGACTCGAGTGACGAACTCGACTGATCGATCCTCCTCATCCTGCACTAGCCCTCGTTTTCTCGTGAAGTACATTACCACCGTTCTCGCGCACCTACTTATCACGAATGTCAAGAACGCTTTGATGACGATGTTGATGATGTTTAGTTACGGTCTTACGGTTTATGGTTCTCACTTCTCTTATTACTACTGCTATGGTCCCTTTCCCACCTTCCCTTGTCCTCTTCACGATTCATTCTCACTACCTCAAGTAAACATACCCCCTCCTTTGTATTCATTTCACGTACATTCCCCGAGCCTCGCTACGACATAATGGTGACTTACTTACTTTTGTGTCTTCGGCTTTCTTGGACCTGAACAGCGCTACGTAGCAAGTAGGTTTAAATTCTTCATACGCTGTAAAGTGTGATGGTTCGTAGGTATCATGCGAGCATAAGGAATCCAGTACTTAAGCAAAAATGATATCCTCCGAGTCAAGCTCCAGAGTTGCTCAACAACTTAATAATTATTACAATAAAATACAGTAAAACAGATTTCGGGTGCTACTACATTCGGATACGGGGAATCGAACCCCGAGCTACCGCGATGACTCGTAGTCAATTGACTCTCAAAGTGAGAGGCGGTAATGTTAGCCATTACACCATATCCGACTTGTGTGACTAAACCCTTAGTACATTTATATTAGAGTCATGTTATCGCGTTTGCGTCCGCCGACCGCCGTTCAACCGTGACGAGTTCTGTGACTTCCCCTCAGACATTCGCACTGGCAATTCACGGACTTGTGGTTCTCAGCCTCTCACCACCTCTCATGTAGTCAGTCATTTAGGGAGCATTCATATTTCGCCTCAGTTTCAATACAAGCCCCCAACCGTCCATCCGGTGTGTGAGCTCTGTGCAAATTCCTTTGCCGCTTTGTTCCTCAGGCTCTAGAAAGCTTGAGCGGACACAAAAGCCCTTGGGCTGGGAGAACAAAATATGACCGCAGTATACGGTCTCCGTTGGACCGAAACTATCCTCTAATAAGTTTCACCGCTACCTTCATCTCTTACTATCACTATATGTACGTGACGTTCGGTTCGTGCTCGTGGTCTAATTCTACTCCTTTGCTTGTGCTGACAAGTTTTCATATGAAGTTTCACCATCAGTTATCCTATCGCAGTTTTTTTACACTCCTGAGGCCTGAGATGTGAGAAGCTCTATCGGCAGCCCCGATGCTCTCGACCAGTGTAACTACCGCTGATCGGGAAATGGATTTCGTTCAACTCAGAACATGTGGCTACCAAGCGGTTCGTACCAACCCCATACGGCCAGAACATACCGGCTCTCTGCTCTGCAGAGAAACTATTGACAAAGTCGATGTTTCTCCCTCTTTGATGCGATCTGATGCATACCCAGTCGGAAAGGCTTTCTCTCATGATGCTAACATGGCGGCGATATAATGCCTACTGGAAGTGCTATGTCTAACCTTTCTTCTCGGTCAAGCTGGTGTATCCTATCACAATTTCTCACAGCATCGTGGTGCGTAGTCGTTCTTCTGCTGTCCTCCGTATCGTAGTTTACATTACTATGTCAGAGTAACCCGAGAGGCATGATGCCATAGATGTTGGGGAACATCATGCGGATGGTCCTGCTCAGGTTAGGCAAGTTGTTGCCGAACATGACTGCATGACTGCAACTATGGATGAGCGAGTATAAAGGACCCCTCGAGTTGCCTTCAACCCTCGAAGCCCCTCGTCTTCAATTACTTGACAGTGATTGACTCACCTACCCCTACCCTCAGTCAATATGGTCATATTCAACCAGTACTTCGCTTCTGTCTTCCTCGCCATTGCTTACGCCACACTGTCCAGTGCGGTATCCTTTGTTCCTAACGTGAAGCATGCTACCCATGGCACTCGCTTCGTTGGTCGAGATCTCAAGGTAGAGACGTACCATCCCAAATCTACTTACGAGGCAAGCATGACGTCAATTTCTCTCCCGGACTACACGCTGAAGTCAAGGGGATAGACCTACGGAGAAGGCATTGACCACCCGACTCTGAAAGGCACTGACGATCCCGTCGGGGACTCCGCTATTGCGTTTGTGCAATCAAAGCTAGGCGTGAACGCAACCGCTGTTCATCTCCGAAGTACGGCGGAGACAGACCTTGGGCGTTATGCATACTTGCAACAGAAGTTGCATGGCATTCCCGTCGCAAATGCTGTTGCGAATGTCGCTTTCAATAGGGACAACAAGGTCATTGCCTTTGGCGCATCTTTTGTTAACATTTGTAAGTCCACAACGAGCTTCGTATGTTGACAAACGTTGACTATGGCTATCGTAGCCTCCATTGCAGCTCCTGGGCCCTCTGTTAATGTTGAAGACGCCATTGAAACCGCAGAAGCTGCTCTGCAAGGCAAATACGACGCAAGAGATTTCCTTGCCCCAACAATGGAATACGTGGTGAAGGAAGATGGCTCCGCCGCCTTGACACATGTATTTCAAGTGCGCAATGGACAAGCGGGAACATGGTACGAAGCATTTGTTGACGCTCACTCTGGCGAGCTCGTTTCGGTGACCGACTTCGTTGCCAAGGCTACTGTGCATGCGGAAGACTTGTTAACATAGAAGTGACTACTGACATCTTTACTGACAGTACCGGGTCCTTCCCATTACGAAAGAATATTTGACGCAGGGGTTCGAGAACCTCAAGGATCCTCAAGATCAAGTTGTCTCTCCGCAAGGCTGGCATAGTGACGGCACCACTACGACTACTGACACTTCGTACGTACGCTCGTATACCCCTGATGTAGTACTTGACTAACACGTTCGTCTTTAGTGGCAACAATGGTGTCACTTTTGTGAACAGTACTTGGAACACCACCTCGCAATCTTCGCCCGGTCAATTCATCTACATCCAGAACCCCGATGAAGCTCCCACCACCCGAAACAACTCAGATGCTGCACGCGTCAACACATTCTACCTCTTGAACACCATACACGATATCACGTATCGATATGGGTTCACAGAGGGCATGTTTAATTTCCAGAACAATAACTTTGGTAAAGGCGGCGAGGGTAACGACCGCGTCAATATCTCCGTACAGGACTACCACACAACCGATAACGCTTACTTTGTGACTCCTCCCGATGGACAGAACGGATACATGGGTATATTTCTGTTTGACTACACGAATCCATGGCGCGATGCTGCTCTTGAGAATGATATTCCAACTCATGAGGTACATATGGTGCACTCATCTTTGCATGGCTTTTGCTGACTGATCCATAGCTCACTCACGGCATGACAAATCGCATGACTGGCGGAGGTACCGCTCGTTGCCTGCAAACTGACGAAGCTCGCGGCCTGGGCGAGGGCTGGTCCGATGCCTTTGCGGAGTATGTTCGAGTCCTAGAGTGATATGTTAGCTTCGTCACTCATTCGCGTGGACCTTAGATGGGCCGAACAAACCAGCGCAACCGTTCAGGACTGGTTCTCGGGTCAATATGTTTTGAACAACCCTGCAGGCGTCCGAAGCCATCCGTATTCTACGAACGCCACAACAAACCCATTGCGGTACTCTTCTATTCAAACCCTCAGCGAGGTTCACGACATGGGTGAAGTCTGGGCGAATATGTTGCATAATGTCTATGCAGCCCTCGTTGAAGCGCATGGCTTCTCATCTATAGCTCACACCAACCCGTCGTAAGTGTCCTTGTGTCATGTTAAACTCTCATCTCACGGGGGCATTTGTTTATCAGCGGTACGGAGGGTAACATAGTGTACTTGCATCTATTCATCGACGCTCTCCCACTCCAGCCGTGCAACCCAACCTTCCCCTCAGCGAGAGATGCATGGCTTCAGGCGGATGTCAGCCGATACGGTGGTGCTAACAGGTGCTTGTTGTGGAAAGCATTCGCGAGTCGAGGACTTGGAGTAAACGCGAAGGATTACATTGACGATGCTACAGTGCATCCAGATTGCTAGCTTCTTGAAGCCATTTGACCTAATTATAACGATGGCCATGGTCTTGTCGTGTACTGTATCATAGCCTATAGGTATCTGTGCGCGATGTTGAGACAACAGCCTGGTCACGGATATCTATGTTTATATCAAAATTTGTCGCAGTACATAGTTACTAAGATAGTGAAAAAAACAATTTTATTGGAACTGCGAACTCGGATACGGGGAATCGAACCCCGAGCTACCGCGCACGTTTACCAGGAACGAACCCAGCTTGTGAAAGGCGGTAATGTTAGCCGTTACACCATATCCGAATTGAAAGATGATGTGCTGCGTGTACACTCGACAGCGGCACTGCACTGTAATTGTGTTAGGTGTGGATTGGCTTGGTTGTGACGCAGTGCCTTCAAGTTCCGATGAATGAAGTACCAGTGTAGTGTAAGATTTGACGTCCACATATTGAAAAGCTATGAGTATGAGGACTGGCGCCTGAAGTATGAATCGGACGGATTCTGCGAGAGTAGAGAAGTTTGTATGTACATAAGTCGCCTTTACTCTTCGATGGCATCTGAATTTTCGACTGAGAACGTTTGATAGCCTCGAGGCAACATTTATAAGCGCTGGAGATCAGTTCAGTTCCAATTGGAGTGTTGCGCGTTACATAATCATATCCGGCGCCTCAACCTAACGATTTGTGTATCGACCACCCGACCAACGAAGCACCAAAAGTCAAGACATCCGACCCTCCTCAAGCACTCGCCATGCCAGTAAGTCGTTCATATGCATCTCCAGGGCTCCAGAAAGTATGCCAGGAAGAAGAATGGGTCGAAAAAGAGGTAGATTGAGGGTGGATGCTGAAGGGAAGGGTTGGATGTACCGTGATCGAGTATAAGCCGAAACTTTGGAGGCAGGGCAGGCAGCGTCGTAGAGGGGAATGTTCGGGTTCCTTGTGGAATGAGGATATTGGGATGGCATTCTACTGGAGTTTTGGACGTTTCATTCGTATGGTATGCTAACTATCCTCTCCACTATAGTCTCAGCCCTCAAACTTCAAGCGCTTCGTCGAGGTCGGACGAGGTATGCGTCTCCAGGACAGAACGAAGGACATAGACTTATTCTTCCTGCAGTTGTTCTCATCAAGGATGGCCCTCTCGCTGGCCGTATCGCCGTGATTGCGGAAATCATTGACCACAACCGGGTACGCTCATTTCATCAAGACTGGGGTTCTCCAGAGGAAACTAATTTTTCTTCTCGTGCTCTGTAGGCAATCATCGACGGCCCCACCACTGATGTCCCCCGCCAAGCATTCCCCTACCGCCATCTAACCCTCACCAACTTCAAACTCACGAAGCTTCCTCGGGCAGCAGGTACCGGCGCCATCCGCAAGCAGGTCGAGGCAGAGGGTATCGTTGAGAAGTGGAACAAGTCGTCGTGGGCCCAGAAGCGCGCCGCAGTTCAGAAGAGGCGATCGCTGACCGACTTTGAGCGATTCACCGTCATGCTCGCGAAGAAGGCTCGTGCTGACCGTGTCAGGAAAGCTGTTAAGGCCGCAAAGGCATAAACCGCTTTCCGACTATCGTTGTAGGGCTTTGAGCAGTATGCCTCGGAGGGTCGATTAGGGCCACGTAGGTTGGGAGAGGCCTGCAAAACGGTTTGGGCGAGGAGTACTTCACATACGCATCTGACCCCCCACGTATATCATCATCGTTTTCGCACTTTTGTTGTCCTATGCATTCCACACCATGAACATGATGACATGCTATATGCATCCCAAAACAACATTCTCTACCGTGTGATTCGTGAATCCGCGGAGTGCGCTCAATGAGGTATTACTGTACTCAAGCAATATAACGCGTTAAATGGAACCTTATATTCTATTCCGTTTCGTCCGTTCCAATTGACCCTCCGCTTCCAATTCTCGGATAGCTGTCTCTGCCCACGCTACTATGCCGTCCTTTTCGAATGCATTGCGCAATCTCTCCTCAGCTGCACTCCATGTCCATTCAGCATCTCCTTTTTCCGACGGGGAAGGTGTAGAATTCGTCAGAGCAATATTCGAGGGTGCATTTGGGTCAACGTCTGCAGGTTCCAGTGGCCGGTGTATCCGGGAGGAGAGAGCAGGCATGTACAGCAGCACGTACTTCCGCATGCAATCTGCAAATTGCTGCGTCTGTAACAAAGTTGAAAACTCCTCCGTAATAGAACAGAAGTTGCAAACATACGTTTTCAACTCCTAGGAATGCTTTGACTCCTGTCACGGTGATTACCGCACCCACACCAACGAAAAGGGTTGCAATACCAAACGCTTTTGCGGCGAGGAAAGGACCATCAAGATCTGTTGAAGCAGTTGCAACTGTCGCTCCTTCAGCTGCTATGTTTTGCGACGGAGTTACAGTGGGTGGAGATTTTGTCGTTCCTCTGGACGACGTTTGACGTATGGGAGGTACGTTTGACCGAGAGGTACTGGCTGTAAGTCTGGAAACGGAAGAAGCAACGTTTCGCCGTGGAGGAGGTGGGGGTCCGTTCCGCAATGTCTCTGAGAGCATAGTTGCCTTTTGACGACGCAAATAGACTAGGGGAACTGCTAAAGCTGCGGTCGTAAGTGCCAGCTACTTGAAGACGAAAAGTATTGAGATGGTGAACACAAGCAACATACGTGAACTGCGTACCAAGGAGATTGGGAGCCATTTAGGCATTGGTGATTGCGTTTCTTTGCTCGCGACATTTTGGCTGACCCTCTCCGACATCGCAAAATTTGAAGACGACAATGAATTCGTCTAAACGACTGGAGCACCCGACAATGTCCTAGGGCTGGTGACGGTCGACCGCCACTGGCAAGAGAACCTTTGGGAGATCTTAGATCTACGCGTACGATCGGCTTGTCGGCAATACCCGACTTGAGAGAGCTCGTTCTCGCGTTCAGGATAATCTCGACCAGTACATCCAACTTGCACCTCTTTGCGATTCTTTCAGAGCCTGCATACTTGACTACGAATGACTCTAGAGGAATCTGCTACGCATCTATAGCTCCTCGAGGACCGTCGCAGTACGACAACTTGATGAACCTCACCCGGCGTGCGTTCGTCGGGGCTGCCCAAGGCCAGTCCAACGCGTAGAAACCTGGTTCAGAATCATGCCTGATAGCTAGCCTGTATTGACTCTTCTAAATAAGAATCGTTATGCGAGGATCATATCGTCGAGGTGCGTCGCCCGTGGACAACATATATAGAATGACACTAGTACCTCCGAGTCTGTCTACACAACTAGAGCCTGAGACTCGGACTGACAATGAAGCGTGTGCCCACTGCCGTAGATTGGGATTGAGGTGTTGAGGACTACGTACGCACGCCGATTGTGCGAGTTGTCAATCACAATGTGCATAAAGATTTGAGGCCGGCAATTGACTGATACCATATTCACTTTGGCTTTGGTTTCTTTACTCCCTTTGTCTCAAAAGAGGAAATCTTGGCACGACAAAGACCCTGACCCTGTTGTTGACTCGACATATCAACGAGCCAATAGTGCACCATTACGACCTTGTCCGCAAGCTGGCGTTGACGGGGCGGAGTGAGCTGTTCTTGGTCAAATGGACCACCCCGGATCATTATCCCTTTGGCCTAAGCCGTGCCCTTGTCCGCAAGGTTCAGGAATGGTATTTAGCTCGCCGACTTCCTCGAGTGGCTATCAAGCTCTCTTCCCCCTTCTCGAAACAGTCCGCGTGTAACATACTTCGCTAACAATATGGAGAATCACAGCGTCATCAATCCTAGAGTCCCTTTCTACAAATGGACACACCCCATGGTAAGCACTGATTTCTATTGGGATACCCAATTCACCTGCTGATACCTGCCTTGTTCCCTACATAGTTCGATACCTACCTTCGTCAATGGCTCAAGGCTTACCGTGAACGAGTTCAAGGCGAAAACAGTGAAGTTGAGATCGTAGAGGATTTGCTCTCACAGGCCATTTACCCCTGCATGTGCGCCTTCACTTTCCTCGTCTAACAATCAGCGACGTACCTTCTCACCTCGTGCAATAGGGCTAGCGGTCAGATAAAGGTTCCCCCAATCTGGGTAAACCATTCCCAGTTTCGCTTCAAAGTCAACAACTTCTTTTCTGCTCTCGGTGAGCTAATATCGGAACAGACAGTTGAGAAGACAGCTGATCATATATTCATAGCGTGGTTTGTGAAGTTCACTGAAATCGACCTCAACGTTGTTCGCGCCTCCTCGAATACTCCTGGCTTCCGCCCAACGCAGTTTGCTTCCGATATTGCAGGCAATTTTGCTGATTTATGCGCACGATTGGCAAAGTTGTGGTTCAAGGGTGACCACTCGGGCGCATCGAGAGTAGAAGTTCTTTGGGAACCCTCCGCCACAGACGACCGCCGGTTTTCCACTTTTTTCATCCATCTCCATAAAGAGAAAAAGCATAAAAGGCGTGCTGAGCGGGATCCTGAGGGGGCTTCAGATGCGCGCGATCTATGCAGACATTCGCGAAAGCTAGCTTCGTAGGTTGAGTTGATTCTTCCAGATGCAATGGCCACTGATCGTGCATCAGGTTCCACGAGCAATTCAACGTAAAGCTCCGGTGTTGGGCGTGTGAGATTCCATGGGATGAATCTACGCCGCTCGAAGATCCCGTTTTCTTTTCGTGGGAGAAGTGCAATCTCTGTAACGTGGGTCAGCCCAACGGCGATGACTTGAGCGATGCCTGATTGTGTGGGGTCGGAGAAGTGTAAAGTCCGCCAGGAGATTCGTTGTCCGCACGCAGACTGGCAAGCTATATCTGTCGCTGTCGGAGACATTGCCCGGCCTACCTTTCGTTGCTTGTCCTTCCAATTAATAAAAACGTTATCCTGAGTTCAATATGTCAATATGTAATGTAGACCTATAGATTCTGCTTTGTTCCGTAAGAACGATGAACGACTTTCGACGCGTCATAAGTGATTGAGGAGCGGGCTGTCCCTTCCGCCACCACGCGATGCATTGATAAGAGAGCACGGATGAGACATCGAGGATTGTCAGGCCTATGTGAGTAAGAGGCGTAGAGCTTGCCCCATCGCAAGGAGCCATGTGTCACGTACCTTGGATTGCGAATAGAAAGGACGTCCTGCCCTGTAGGTGAGGAAAGGATTCAAAGGAAAGGATACACGTATACTTGAGCTGGACAAACTAAGCTCACAGCCTGATCCTTCTGTCATTCAGCTGGTCAAGCACTCGGATGCGTACAAGGAATACTTGGCGACCCATTCATGTTTTTCTGATGACCCTGGCCACATTACGCATGGATCTGCATTGGCAGGGAGATCGCG